ATTTTCGAATATCTTATAAAAACGAATTCTTTCCTTACAGGATTGTGGATTTGTGACTTGAACTTGAAATGACGGCTTTTCATTTTGCAGCATTTGAATATCTTCATCGATAACTTTCTGGGCCGTCAACAATTCCTCAAGCTTCGAATTTTCCAACACATCCCTTGTACGCTGAAGCGACTTTTCAACTTTTTCCAGGTAAGTTGATATCTTTTCACTCTGAGTGGAAAGGCTTTGACAAGCGGGATTGTAGACTTTGTCAACTTCTTGAATTTTCGCCTCCAAAATCTTGTTGATGCGATCTTCAACATCTTTCATTATTTCATTTTTCCGAGCGACGTGTTCTTCCTTCGCAGATTTCGCCGTTCTCTCGCAAGTTATCTTGCTCTCATTGACAGTTTGTAATGCCTGGCAAGTGAAAAGAAATGAGAGTAAATGTCCCGATTATGTGAATAAAAGTGTCTTTAGTAAAGTGTTAGCAAAATCATTACTATATTGGTCATGTAACGTTTACACTACGCCCAATCTATCGGCACGGCTAAAATGCCCACCCGTACCAATTTCGTCCGTGTTCGGTGTTTGTATTGGTAGCCTGAACACTAATAAAGATGGGTACGGGTACCAATTTTAGCCGTGTCGTTCCAATAAATTGGGTGTAGTGTAATGAGACTTTAATTTTATAATGCAAGTCTTTAAAGCTTTGTTAATTATTCACGCCATTTCGTCTTTAGATCGTCGTGTTAGTCGCGCGAGGATCGTGAAACTGAAAGTGACTTCAAAATCTTAACAAGCTCAAAATACGAACCTGATTTCCTTTTTGTAACATTGCTTTGATGGTCGCACGTTTCGACTTCACAGCGTCCTGTTGTTTGCGAAAGATTTCGTAAATCGGGACAAACGCATGGCCAGGTTTTGTGTGCACGGTCGCCACACACTTTATGCAAATCAGTTCCTTGCATGTGTCGCAATAAAATTTTGAAACGGAATCTTTGTGGCCATTGCAGCGCAACGCTTCCGCACCGATTTTCTGCTGCTCTTTGTGATGAAACACTTCGCTTAGGGTTAACAAAACATGGCTTCTGTTTCTGGGCCACTTGTCATGATAAGCGCAACAGGAATGACACAAGAGCATTTCACATTCCAAACATACAGCAAGCGAAGTCTCTTTGTCACAGAAACTGCAAATGGCACCCTTTTTTTTTCTATTTTGACCAACAGCAGTCAGCAGTTTTCTGATAAACGCATTATCTGCCAGTGCAGCGACGCTTTCCAATGTGATTGAGGTCTTGCAGATTGGACAAACCAGCTTCGTCTCTTTGTTTTGTGTCGTCAGGTTCTCGACACAGGCCTTGCAGAATGAATGAGAGCAAGACAAAGTCTTCGGCTCGCTGATAGTCTTCTTACAAATACCACAAACGAGAAGGTTGTGAATCTCGACAATCGAGCGAGAGCTGGTTAAAGAAGCGGCCATATATTGATGTGAGATTGTAATTGTGAAACAATTTATAATCTTTACATTTTCAAACAGCAGTTAGAACCGACTAATAATCCTGTGTGACTATTTTTTTGCCCTTAGTATGTTGACTGTCGACTTCGTCGCAGCTGTTTGAGCACAATTTAAAATTCTATTCAAATAATCTATTATATTAAATATTCATGTTTCCAAGTATTGAATCCCGCTGTTTTACTTAAGAATTAAAAAACGAGTCGCGTGCCTTTATGGTGTAATAATGCACGATGGGGAATGTTGGGAAAACGCGCAATACAAAAAGTTTATCATTGTGAAACTTGGTGAAACTTGTGGCTCTGCCAACCATCGCGTGATGCTCTGTAACAAAGCTTCAATGGAGATTCTCTGTTGTCAAGGAATCTTAGCAAATGTTTAATAAGCTCCTTTTCACCTTTCAAAATCAGGGTGTCTGGCATCAATGTCAATGGATCAGGTGGACCTGTTTCCAATAAAATAATAGTCAACAAAAGCATTTTCAAGGCGAAGAGAAATATATCTAGGCTACATCGCTACTTACAATTCTCCTCTGCCAATTTCTTGAACATATTATAAAAACAAAGTTTTTCCATACAAGATTCTGGATTTGCGAGTTGAACTTGAAACGTTGTCAAATTAGGCGGCTTCTCATTTTGTAGCATTCGAATATCATCATCGATAAATGTCTGGGCTGTCAACAATTCCTCAAGCTTCGATGTTACCAACACATCGTTTGTACGCTGAAGCGACTTTTCAACTTTTTCCAGGTAATTTGATATCTTTTCACTTTGAGTGGAAAGGCTTTGACAAACGGGATCGCAGACTTTGTCAACTTCTTGAATTTTCTCCTCCGAAATCTTATTGATACGATCTTCAACATCTTTCATTACTTCATCTTTCCGAGCGGTGTGTTTTAATTTAATATCTTTCGCTGTTTTCTCGTAATTTGCCTTGTTGTTTTTCACACTTTCTAATGCCTGGAAAGATGAGAACATTTAAGTTAATCGCTGAATATTCAATCACAGCTCTTCCTGATCACACTTGCACAGTTGTAAAACAAAACACACTCATGCTTAGCCTTTTATAGGGATTGGGAATTTGTAGGTCATAAATTTAAAAGAAAGGCCTTTTTAAACAGATTACTATTTGCGAAACATTGTTTGCATGTCTTCATCTCTCATGCCGTCATGGGTAGGCAATGGATTGGGTACAACTATTCACACTAAAATTTCCCTTTAGCTCAAAGGCTTCAAAGACACTGCCATTTAAGTAGGCGGAAAATTTGAATTAAAGTAATTCCGAAAAATGAAAGCATAATACAATTTTTATTCTGTATATTTCGAATCAAGATCGATTCATCTTCAGCAGAATGGTTTTCGTTTACAAGATTTGCATAACTATAACTATAAAGCGCGTACACGCTTTGCCTTTGTGTATTGATTCGAAATATACAGAATAAATTTTGTATTATGCTTTCATTTTTCGGAATTACTTTAATCCTGTATGTGCTAAAAGCCTAAAACTATCAGCTGGTAAAGGATTCTGGAAAATTTGAATTCAGTGGTATTCAGTGTTGGGCCTCCGTGGCTCTTGGGAAAGCGCTTTGTATATAAAACAGGAAAACAATCATCAAATGGATTTTCTGTGTGTACACTTGATAATGTATAAAACATTGATTCATTTTTTGAATGTGAATTGGTTGGAAATGACTGCGCATGGATAATCAAACATCCCATCAACTACAATCAAAATTCGAACCAGCTTAAACTTGGTGATAAGCGAGATAAGACACAAACAGCTGTTTACCTGATTTCCTTCCTGTAACATTGCTTTGATGGTCGCACATTTCGACTTCACAGCGTCCTGTTGTTTGCAAAAGATTTCGTAAACCGCGACACACGCGTGGCCAGGTTTCGTGTGCACGGACGCCACACATTTCATGCAAATCAGCTTCCTACAAGTTTCGCAATAGAATTTCGGGGCTGCATCTTTGTGACCAGTGCATCTCAATTTTTCCGTTCCGACCTTTTTTTGCTCCCCCTGATATATTATTTCACTCAGGGAAAGAATCGTATGGCTCTGCATTGTTGGCCAGCCGTCGTGCCGTTCATGACATTTATGACCCAAAAGGATTTCGCATTGCATACATATTGCATGCGATGGTTCCTCGCTGCAGTGGGAACAAAGAGAATCTTCTTTATTTCGATTGGGGCCGACGGCCTTCAGGAGTTTTACGATGAATTTACTGTCAGGCAATGAAGCGACTGTTTCGTCTTGTTTCAATGTGGTTGTGGTCTTGCAGGTCGGGCAGACTAACTTCTTGCATTCGCCATCGACAATTCCTTTGTCTTGTGTCGTCAAGTTCTCGACACAGGCCTTGCAGAATGAGTGAGAGCAAGACAAAGTCTTCGGCTCGATGATGGTCTTCTTACAAATATCACACACGAGAAGATTGTGAATCTCGACAATCGAGCGAGAGGCGGTTAAAGAGGCAGCCATATTAAGATTGTAGAAACAAATTCACAATCGTTTAACTTCGATAAACAGACGTTATAATGTTAGCGAAGAATAGTTTGAAAGTTTAGTCAAACATTCAAGTAATTTCTAGCCAAGCAGAAGTTTATGTTGTTTGTATCTTTGGTCTGGGTTCTGTCTGAGCCCATTCTGAAATTCGAACCTATCAAGAAATATTTTCCATGCAGGTATTGCACGCCCCACTGTGTTACTTGGAATTCACGCAAAAGTGCTTTCCGTTCGGTTGAAAACAATATCATCTTTAAAATCTAACTTGTCAAATTTTACGCCTGCTGCCTATATTGTACATTTTTCAACTTTTGTCTTTCACAAAGCATATTGCAGATATAAATAACAGAACAAGTTAAAATATCAGAGACAGAGTCAAATACTACTATATCAGTGACTACTTCTAAGAATTACCAGATAATACAAATATCTCTATCTGAATATTATAAACCGTCTTTAGTGCATGAGAAATTTCCTTTTTATTTGAATGAATTGAATACGACAAAATGATAAGGTACGGCTATCCAGCGTGTATCGAGCGGCTATTATGACAGAAGAGTCTGGAGAGATCGCTGTTACATAAGATCAAGTAGCCATTATAAGATTGCAAAACAACTACAGTCTGCTCACCCACATACGCAGCAGGTTGATAGCTATAAATCATCAGACAAATACACCTCGATTCATACTAATTCAATACCGAGCATTGATTATTTACAGTCTAAGTAAAGCCCCCCAAATTTTTCCCTGAGATTTCGTTTAAATATTCCGATATTCCCAGTTAATAGTTACCAGTCATACTAGATCTGACTTTTGTTGTACAAACAAAATTTGACAACATAATATTCAGTAGACATTTAAAATATTTTTAATTCAGAATGCTCTGAAGAAAACTGGATTTTTAGTATAATTGATTTTTAGTCAATTAAATATTGCTATTAGTATTAATTAAATATTGCACGACTTCTAAATTCCGAACGTTATTCTTAGAAATCTTAAAAAAAACAGAGCTTTACATTTTAAAATAAATTTTAAAAAAATCACAACTGCTTCGTCTCGGGGACATTCTGAAATATAAGCGTATATACTTAACTCATGTGCTTCTCATAATCTCATTTCCAAGTAATAATGCACCGCGCTGTTTTACATAAATTTTCATAACATTTCAAACATAATTCTTCGAACGCGTGAATAATGTGTATTGACGTAAAGACGAAAATAAGATAACAAATAAAAAATTAAATGGTTGTCGTCCGACAGGAAATATAAAAAATTCCTCTTTTTATAATAATCCTTTTCATTGCCCATTTCAAAAGTATTATTTTCATTCGATCAACCTGGTGTTTTAGTAAAATACTTCGATTTCTGTGGGTTTGAAGTTGTGACTACCAGCAAACAACGACTGGGTTTGTGGAGTGTTGTATTGATATCCTGCTGGTGGTTGGTATGTGTAACCAAGGTTGCTGTAAGAGATTTGATTGCTGTTGGCATTGTCGGCGATGTTGAGATCATGACCTCCACCAAAGGTTGCTCCATAAGAAGGATGACAGCAAATCGCGTTTTCATTTTTTCCGTTAATTAATGAGCATTTAAATGGCTGCAGGTTGTTTGGGTTTCGTAATGAAAATAAAAAGGATGCGTTGGAAGTTTTATATTGTCCTGAACCTAGGAAACAAAACAAATTAATGATCAATCCAGTTCCTGTTTCGCGATCAGCAGCCCAGAGTATTCAGGGGAGGTTTCCAGAGATTGAGTAAGATTTCTTATTTCGAGTTTTTGAATTGTGTAAAACTGACGCGCAATACAAAAGGTTAGAATTAAAGAGGGAAGAATTATATCGAGCGAGCCTATATTAATTGCTGTCTCTATTTATAATAACAAATATAACAATTCATTATTTAAGACTAAACTATAAGAAAAGCATCTTATCTCGAACTGAAAAGAGAACGGTAGAATAAAACCCAAGCATCTTATCTCAAACGGAAAATGTATAAAACTCTTTTATCTCGAACGATATCAAACTCCTTTAGGCATGGTTTAAGCGATAAAGTCTTAAAAATATCCATATATGTATTATTTACCTATAAGTATATTTTTTATTTTTATTTTACAACTATCGTAGCAAGGTGATTATTGTAATATTGTAACTTTATCGTAATCTTTGACTTAAAGATAGATAGTTATTATTTCGTTTATTATAATTAAATTCCAACTTAATGTCATCACATTTAAAACAGGGACAGTAAAAATATTACACTGAAACAAACTGAAACAAAAATCAACAAACTTGAAAATAATTTTCCACATATGATGAACAACAGAAACGCCTGAGTATTCCTTACTTGATGGAGAAGCTTTGCCTTTGATCTGACAAATGCATGTGGTTATCATACGCCCACCGAATCTTTACTCGAAATTATTGTACATTTTTCAGACAATGTGTGTTCAGTTTTATCTTTATACAATTTATGGCGTATAATTCCGTATTGTTTAATTTGTTTATAAGATTGTATTTAGTTATTACTTCAATATGTCTCAGTTACAAAATTATCCGACACAAGAAAGTGAAAAGAACTCATTCGACTGTAGATTGGATATCGAAAGATAAAGTGAATGAAATCTTACAGCTTTGCCAAGTTTGATCAGTGTATCCACCAAAGATCCAGTTTCCAACTTTCACCAAAACTACGGTTCCTGTTTTACCATCACACAACTGGTGAAACTTCTGGCTCTGCCAACCATGGAGCGATGCTCTGTAGCAAAGCTTCAATGGCGATTCTCTGTTGTCAAGGAATCTTAGCAAATGTTTAACAAGCTCCTTTTCACCTTTCAGAATTACCGTATCTGACGTCAATGATTGAAGCCCTGTTTCCAATAAAAAACAGTTTGCAGAAAAAATTTTAAGAAAGTTGAACATAATTATACATATACTTACTATCATCCTCCGCCAATTTTTCGAATATCTTATAAAAACGAATTCTTTCCTTACAGGATTGTGGATTTGTGACTTGAACTTGAAATGACGGCTTTTCACTTAGCAGCATTTGAATATCATCATCGATAACTTTCTGGGCTGTCAACAATTCCTCTAGCTTCGAATTTTCCAACACATCATTTGTACGCTGAAGCGACTTTTCAACTTTTTCCACGTAATTTGATATCTTTTTACTCTGAGTGGAAAGGCTACGACAAGCGGGATCGTAGACTTTGTCAACTTCTTGAATTTTCTCCTCCGAAATCTTATTAATGGCATCAATAACAGTTTTTATCATTTTAACTTTCTGAGCGGTGTGTTTTTCCTTCGTAGATTTTGCTGTTCCCTGGCAAGTTTTCTTGCTCTTATTGACAGTTCCCAAAGCCTGGCAAGTGAGGAGAAATCTTAAGGCCCTGTTACACGGTGCAATTTTTCATGCAACTTGCAATGCAATTCTACTTTTGAGAGATGTAAATTTGTCAACTGCCAACTTTTGTCTTAATTACATTCCATGGCGTTTCTGTCATGCGTCACAGTCGGAAGTTGCCGATTGCCTCGTGACGGATGGGACTTGGGAGATGTAGGTTATTAGTTTCAATTGATTCCACACCTGACACCATGTTAGGCGAGTAAATAATTCCAACAACATGAAAAGCTATATTTAATAATCATTGCCTAAACTAATAACCTATATCTCCCAAGTCCCATCCCTCAGGAGGCAATCGGCAACTTCCGACTGTGACACATGACATTTCTTACACTTCCATTTTGAAGCCTCTTCCCTAATTTACATCTCTTACAAAAAGTAGAATTATTCTTGTCATTGCGTCTTTGAATGAATTGGAGCTTCGTGTTGATCGCGCGAGGATCATAAAAATGAAATTTATGTCGAGGTTTTAACCAGCTAAAAATACGAATAATACGAACCTGATTTCCTTCTTCTAACATTGCATTGATGGTCGCACATTTCGACTTCACAGCGTCCTGTTGTTTGCAAAAGATTTCGTAAATCGGGACAAACGCGTGGCCAGGTTTTGTGTGCACGGTCATCACACACTTTATGCAAATCAGTTCCTTGCATGTGTCGCAATAAAATTTTGAAACGGAATCTTTGTGGCCATTGCAGCGCAACGCTTCCGCTCCGATTTTCTGCTGCTCTTCGTGATGAAACACTTCACTTAGGGTTAGCAAAACATGGCTTCTGTTTCTGGGCCACTTGTCATGATAAGCGCAACAGGAATGACACAAGAGCATTTCACATTCCAAACATACTGCAAGCGAAGTCTCGTTGTCACAGAAACTGCAAATGGCACCCTTTTTTTTTCTATTTGGACCAACAGCAGTCAGCAGTTTTCTGATAAACGCATTATCTGGCAGTGCAGCGACGCTTTCCAATGTGATTGAGGTCTTGCAGATTGGACAAACCAGCTTCGTCTCTTTGTTTTGGGTCGTCAGGTTCTCGACACAGGCCTTGCAGAATGAATGAGAGCAAGACAAAGTCTTCGGCTCGCTGATGGTCTTCTTACAAATATCACACACGAGAAGATTGCGAATCTCGACAATCGAGCGAGAGCTGGTTAAAGAAGCGGCCATATATTGATGTGAGATTGTAATTGTGAAACAATTTATAATCTTTACATTTTCAAACAGCAGTTAGAACCGACTAATAATCCTGTGTGACTATTTTTTTGCCCTTAGTATGTAGACTGTCGACTTCGTCGCAGCTGTTTGAGCACAATTTAAAATTCTATTCAAATAATCTGTTATTATATTCATGTTTCCAAGTATTGAACCCCGCTGTTTTACTTGGAACAAGACGCCTACTAGGCGTTATGATCGCGTCGTTCACAGCGGCGTAGCCAGCCCAGCTATGCAAATTTTGTGTCATAAATGTTCTTAATAATAAAAATGAACAATATACCGAACTATAGGCAGGCTTACTCTGCTCGGCGTGTGCAGTTGTATGTGTAATGAGCGTAAAGGCTGCATTCCACTTACGCGTTTTTCATACGCACGTACACGCACGTAAAAGTCTGAATCCTTATACATGTTACCTTTGAAAAAACTAAGTGAATAAATCGAAGGAACTTAGTTTTCTGCATATTTTAGTATGCATTAGTTGACCTAGATGTTAAATAATAAAAATTTAAAAGCGTTTAAAATTTTCCGTACGTGTACGTGCGTATAAAAAACGCGTAAGTGGAAAGCAGCCTTAAAGATAAGGTTAGCACTTGCTAGCATTTTGATCGCTTTATTGATTCTACTTTACGGCTTCGAAGGTGAAACGAAATATGCCCAAAGTGAATACAACACGTGATATAACTATCAACCTACCTGTGCGCAGGTTCCCGATTAGGGTGATACGGCCTGCAGCTAGCGACGCTGGGGGTCGACCCGAGAGGAAAATAAAAAAAAAAAACCAAGCCGAAACTATAGATCGCTGTCGCTACGCGACGCGATCAATTAACGCAATATCTAACTTTCCCTTTCACATAAAGTCTTTGTTATTCAAAAACCTAATTCGTCAACCTGTGTTCTACCTATATAATAAATATATCAAACACAAACATTTTGTCTTCCAAAATATTGTTGATGCGATCTTCAACATCTTTCATCATTTCATCTTTCGGAGCGATGTGTTTTAATTTGATATCTTTCGCGGTTTTCTCGTAAGTTACCTTGCTGTTTTTCACACTTTCTAAAGCCTGGAAAGATGAGAACTTTTAAGTTAATCGCTGAATAATGAATATTCAATCACAGTTCTGCCCGATCAGACTTGCACAAATGTAAAACAAAACACACTCATGTTTAGCCTTTTATAGGGTTTGGGTTTAGGAATTTGTAGGTTATAAATTTAAAAGAAAGTCCTTTTTAAAAGATTACTATTTGCGAAACATTGTTTGCATGTCTTCATCTCTCATGCCGTCATGGTAAAACTATTCACACTAAAATTTCCCTCTACTCCTCTAGCTCAAAGGCTTCAAAGACACTGCTATTTAAGTAGGCGGAAAATTTGAATTCAGTGGTATTCAGTGATGAGCCTCCGTGGCTCTTGGGAAAGCGCTTTGTATAAAAACAGGAAAACAGGAAAACAATCATCAACCGGATTTTCTGTGTGTACACTTGATAATGTGTAAAACATTGAATCATTTTTTGAATGTAAATTGGTTGGAAATGACTGCGCATTCATAATCAAACATCAATCAATTACTATCAAAATTCAGCCTCGTACCCAGGCGCTTTATTGGAAAACATAAAAACTGCATTCAGCGTAATGTATAGATCTGTGCTGAATGCAGCCTTTATGTTTTCCAATAAAGCGCCTCGGTACGAAGCTGATCAAAACTCGAAGCAGCTCAAACTTGGTGATAAGGCACAAACTGCTTACCTGATTTCCTTCCTGTAACATTGCTTTGATGGTCGCACATTTCGACTTCACAGCGTCCTGTTGTTTGCAAAAGATTTCGTAAACCGCGACACACGCGTGGCCAGGTTTCGTGTGCACGGACGCCAAACCAAATTTCCCCCGAGATTTCGTTTAAAAATTCCGATATTCCCAGTTAATAGTTCCCAGGCACACTAGATCTGACTTTTGTTGTACAAACGAAATTTGACAACATAATTATTCAGTAGATATTTAAAATATTTTTAATTCAGAATGCTCTGAAGAAAACTGGATTTTTAGTATAATTGTTTTTAATCAATTAAATATTGCACGACTTCTAAATTCCGAACGTCCTTCTTAGAAATAAAAAAGAAAAATAAAAGAAATAAAAAAATCTAAAGCTTTACATTTTAAAATAAATTCCAAAAAAATCAGAACTGCCTCGTCTCGGGATGGGATCCCGGAATTGGCAACGCTGCTCTGGAACATTCTAAAATATAAGCGTATTTACTTAACTCATGCGCTTCTCATTTCCAAGTGGTAATGCACCGCGCTGTTTTACATAAAATTTTCATAACATTTCAAACATAATTCTTCGAACGTAAAAAAAATTTCAAATTATATGTAGCTGATATAATATATATAATGTATATTGACGTATAAAGACGAAAATAAGATAACAAATAAGAAAGTGAAATGGTTGTCGACCGAAAGGAAATATAAAAAATTCCTCTCGCTATAATAATCCTTTTCATTGTCCATTTTAAAAGTATTATTCTGATTTAATCAACCTGGTGTTTCAGTAAAACACTTCGATTTCTGAGGGTGTGAATTTGTAACTACCAGCAAACAACGACTGGGTTTGTGGAGTGTTGTATTGATATCCTGCTGGTGGTTGGTATGTGCAACCAAGGTTGCTGTAAGAATATTGATTGCTGTTGGCATTGTCGGTGATGTGGAGATCATTACCTCCACTAAAGATTGCTCCACAAGAAGGATGACAGTAGATCGCGTTTTCATTTCTTCCGTTAATTAATGAGCATTTAAATGGCTGCAGGTTGTTTTCGTAATGAAAATAAAAACGATGCGTTGGAAGTTTTATATTGACCTGAACCTAGGAGAAGAAACAAAACAAATTAATGATCAATCCAGTTCCTGTTTCGCGATCAGCAGCTCAGAGTATTCAGGAGAGGTTTCCAGAGATTGAGTAAGATTTCTTATTTCGACTTTTTTCCGGAATTATTTGTGAAAACGCGCAATACAAAAAATTTGAATTAGAGTGTGAAGAATTATATCGAGTGGACCGATACTTATCACTATCACTATTTAGAATAAAAAATAAATGATTCATCATTTAAGACTAAACTATAAGAAAAGCATCTTATATCCGGAACTGAAAAGAGAACGATATGAAAACTTTTTATGGTTTGAGCGATATATTCTAAAAAACATTCATATATTAATCATGTAGTATAGATTTTTATTTCATCATGCATAGCAAGGTATATAATGTAATATTGTAACTCTATTGTAATCATTTCACTTAAAGATGGATAGTTATTATTACGTTTATTATTAACTGGATTCCAACTTAAAGTCACGTTTAAAACAGGGACAGCAAAAATATTACACTGGTATTAAACAAACTTAAGAATATTTTTTCACATATTTCATCATTGCACCAGCACATTTTAAATTGATTAAACAACAATAAAAACGCGCGAGTATTATTTCCTTACTTGACTGCGAAGCTTTGATTTGAAACACGCAGTTATCATTGTGCGCCTCATCTTTATACTTGAAATTATTTGTACATCTTTCAGACAAATTATGTTCAGTTACTGAGCTTATACAATTTATGGCGTATAATTCCGTATTGTTTCATTTGTTTAGAAGATTGTATTTAGTTATTACTTCAATATGTCTCAGTTACAAAATTGTCCGACACAAGAAAGTGAAAAAAAACTCATCTGACTGTAGATTGGATATCGAAAGATAAAGTGATTCAGAACGAAATCTTACTTACCATTCCAAGTTTGATCAGTGTATCCACCAAAGATCCAGTTTCCAACTTTGACCAAAACTACTGTTCCTGCTTTACCATCACACAGCTCATGAAAATTATGGCTCCGCCAACCATGGAGTGATGCTCTGTAACAAAGCCTCAATAGCGATTCTCTGTTGTCAAGGAATCTTAGCAAATGTTTAGCGAGCTCCTTTTCACCTTTCAAAATCACGGTGTCTGGTATCAATGTCAATGGATCAGGAGGAGGTGGTGGAGGACCTGTTTCCAATAAAATAATAGTCAACAAAAGCATTTTCAAGGCGAAGAGAAATATATCTAGGCTACATCGCTACTTACAATTCTCCTCTGCCAATTTCTTGAACATATTATAAAAACAAAGTTTTTCCGTACAGGATTCTGGATTTGCGAGTTGAACTCGAAACGTTGTTAAATTTGGCGGCATTTCGTTTCGCAGCTTTTGAATATCAACATCGATAACTTTCTTGACTGTCAACAACTCTTTAAGCTTCGAATTTTCCAACACATCGTTTGTACGCTGAAGCGACTTTTCAACTTTTTCCAGGTAAGTTGATATCTTTTCACTCTGAGTGGAAAGGCTTTGACAAGCAGGATCGTAAACTTTGTCAACTTCTTGAATTTTCACCTCCAAAATCTTGTTGATACGATCTTCAACATCTTTCATTATTTCATCTTTCCGAGCGATGTGTTTTAATTTGATATCTTTTGCGGTTTTCTCGTATTTTTGCTTGTCGTTTTTCACACTTTCTAATGCCTGGAAAGCCATGAAAAAATTTAAACTAATCGCAAAATATTTTGACAGTTCTTCTCGACTTGCAGAATTGTAAAACACGAGATGTTTGGGATTCAGATTTAGAAATGATGTGGGCAGAAAATGAAAATTACAAGCAGGTCGGTTTTGAGCAGATCTTTAAAATATTTAGACCAAATCTTGTATTCGAAACAACAGGAACTAAGTCTGAGATCGTTTACCAATAGTGGTGTGTATTTTTTCACTGCAAAAACCCCGTTAATGGCTATCATTTACATTTAATTTAAGTGAAAAAAGCTTAATTGTAAGGGATGACGAAAAGTGATGGGGAATGATAATAAAAGATGAGGAAAAAACTGAGTTCGAAAAAAGCTGAACATGCAATCGCGGTACGTTGAGCCTCGCGTGAATTTAACGTGGGAGTTGATCAGTGATCATGCATCTCTCTTACTTCGATGAAACGTGAACCGAATTCTTCCATTACAATAAGTTATTGGGCGCATGCTAGGGCATATTCGACACTTGCGATTTTTGCTCCGACATTATGT